ATTAATTGTTTTTTTTTCTTCTCCAGGTGTAACACCTTAAACTTGTCTTTGCTGAATTCCAGTTTTTCATCTATAGTCCGGTTCTCCAGTTTATCAAAATCCTTTTGAATTTTAAATCCTGTTTTCCAAAATCTTTGTAATTCCTCCCAGTTTTTTCTTTCATTTCTGAATAACATAAAAACTGCTAGTTTAGCAAACCTGTAGGTAATTTGCAAAGCAACCTGGATGGATCACAGCAAAGCCTGAGCAAAAGTAAGCCGGAGAGAAGCATTTTGATGCTAGTAAATGAAGAAAAGCAGGAAGCGAACAGTGCAGATGAAAAATGGGAAGCCCTAACCAAGCAGCTGTACCCATTGTGTTGAAGCAAGGTTATTTTCATTGGGTGGGCACATCTACACGAGATGCTTACTGTACAGTTGACTACTTAGTTGTGCAGTAAGCACCTCGGCATCTACACGTGTCCCTACTAGGCTGGAGTATAAAGTAAAAAAACTCTGCAGCAGCACACATGTAGACACTGGAGGGGCTGGCGGGGGCACATGGGTGGCTGAGTGTGGGGGCTGTCTGCTGGCTAGCCCTGCACTGAGACAACCTCGTGCCCCAGCCAGCCCTTCCACAGCACATTGAGCTGGGGGGACTAGCCCCAGCCTGGCAGGCTAACTCCCTGGGCCCCTGCTAGCCAGGGCTGATCCGCCCCAGCTCAACACGTTGTGCATCAATAAACTGCGGAGCTTATTGCTGCTGAGTTCATTGCTTCCAGGTGCACGTTCAAACAGCATGCCTGGGAGCAATAAACTGCAGAGTAATAAGCTCTGCAGTTTGTTCATGCGCCATAATTGCACATGTTGATGCACCAATTGTGTTTTTTTCACTGATCTCCTGCTAACGAGTCTGAACAATTATCTTGCTGCTGCAGGGAAGGTGTGGGATGAGAACTGTGAGGGGAGTATGTCTATAAAAAGGGGCTGCAATACTGGGAACAGGAACTTCCTTCTTTCACCTGAGACATGGTTTTGAAGGCACATACCTCTGTCACATGATAGAACATTACCCATCAATTTGAGGTGACTACTAATCCAACACTGTAAATGTATCCCTGCTTTACAGAAAAGGTGGGTAATATAGAAAATATTTGAGAGCCCTTGTTCAAAATCCTAGTAATCATCTCCTACCTCTGCTTTTCAAGGCTAGCAATTCCTTCTCAACTTTTGTCCTTGTGTGTCTGACACATAGCTAACTCTTTAGCAGTTTAAAATTTGACTGAGTGAAAAAGGGCAGTTCATTGCAAAGTGTAAGTAAAGTGTGGGATTATTTTGTCAGCTTGCCCTTTTCTCACACGACCAGCATGAGAGAGATTAAATGAAACTGACATGCATTAGCAGGCCAGCCTAATTGAGCATGAAGTGCTAAGCAAAGTTAAAATAATCCAAGCCAGATATGGATTTGAAAGCACTGCCATTAAGAACAGTGATCAATACGAATGATTATGGCATTTAAAAAAAAATAAAATTGATCGTCCTTGACTGAGGTGGGAGGGAGAATACACGCACATCACCAGAAATGACTATCCAGCTCTATATTAAACTGTGTTGGTGAAATGGTCATTTTGAGTCTTCTTTTACAGTCTCACCTCCACAGGCAAAGTCTGCCATGACTTTGATTCTGTTTGCTAGCCAGAATTTTTAATTAAATGCTCTATAATAGACTTGGAAGTATTAATGATAAATACATTTATGAATCAAATCCTTCCCTTACTAAAGTTAATGGAGACGAGATTTCATCATTATATATATATGTACATACACATAATTGTTAAACATGTATTTAATATTTTATACATTGTATAACATTATATATATATTATTTACCAGATGAAATCGGCACGTTTCACTGTTTAGATCGGGGTGGGTAAAATGCGGCCTGGGGCCAGATGAGACCCGCCAGCCCATTCTCTCTGGCCTGCATGGCACCCCTAAAAAATTTAGAAAATTAATATTTATCTGCCCTGGGCTGCCTGTCATGTGGCCCTCGATGGCTTGCCAAAACTCAGTAAGCGGCCCTCTGCCCAAAATAATTGCCCGCCCCTGGTTTAGATACACAAAAATTCCTTTTTTTTAATCCCCAGATTTCTCAGCAATTTGCTCACCAAAGAGATTTTCACGCTATATACTATAAAATGAGCTGACAAAATGAAAGGATTTTCTTCATGCTGAAAGCAGAAAATGAGCTAAACAACTTTTCCCTAGGAGGCCTGTTTCAGAAACAGTTGTGAAAGAAAAAGTGAGGGCAGCCCATGTACCTTGTTTTATGGCCTATTCAGGTATTTTAGTTGGTGAAAAGCTTCATATATAAGCAGGTTTCTAGGTGAAGGGAAATGCATCAGATGGCTAAACAAGATCTATTTCAGGTATGTTTCTTGTGTCATTGGCAAAACAGAAGATCTGGCTCATCTAGAAGTAAGGGAAGGAAGTGCTGTGGTTGTTGGTGAGAACAAGAAAGACCATAGGTAAGATCCAAATATATAGACAAAAGTATGGGAATCAGTTTTTAAGTAAATGAGTGAAGTTGGAAAAAAAACAACCTGCACCAAATTAGCCTTCTAAGTGCCAGGCAGACATCACAAATCAATCTGTAAATAAATAAATAAACAAACAAAGCTCTTAGGTTAAATTTTTAAAGAAATGCAGGCAATTTAGACACTGAATTTCCATAACTTTTAGTCACTGCTATGAAAAAAATCTATATCATGAGTATCTTATTACAGACAATCTTCTTTTTGTTTTAGATCTGCAGAACTTCTGACCCTCAGACTAGTGTTTTTCCCCAGTCTCAGTTACCATCCAGCTTTTTCTTGAACTCTACGATGGAATAATATTATTTGGAGTAGATTGTGGGCCTACTCAGAGGAGTAAGGCTCAGACTTCACTCTTTTTCCTAAGGTCTCAAAGCAGAGTTTCATTTTACACACTGTGCGAGCAAATCCTGCCCTGGTCTATGCATGCACAGCCATTGTACATTTCAGTAAGAATACTTTTTGCCTAGCCAGGGGGCAGAATTTGGTCTGCTAATGTGTGTGGCTAAAGCTCATCAGGGTAGGAAACTAAATTGTTGAAGGCATGTTGAACTCAAATCTGTTATTTGAACTTTAATGTTTTGCATGTAGCTGTTGAAGTCAGCCCATATTAGTATCCTTGACAGCATAAATATGAATTTCTTTTTTAAATAATTGTTAAAAAAATTAAAAAATCACTCTTTCCCTGTCTCCTGGAACTAAATCCATTGGTCCACAGTACACTATGAAATAAATCATTCCATTATTTTATTGACATCAGGGCACTTCCAGATTTTTGCCAAGAGTTTCTAAACTGTTTTTACTACTGACACATATTCCATTTAGTTGGGAATTTGTTCAGAAAGAATACTATTACATTAGTTATCCCACTGCACAAACATCTTGGCAAGTAGAAATATTTATCAGTATGTAGCAAGCATACTATATAGTGATACAAGCCTGTTTCCTGGGCTTGGACTTAAGTTCTAGCATTTATGACTATCCAAAACCTTTGTTCAAGTTTGATATTGTACCAGGTACTGTAGAATCAGTGCACTGAATTCTACATAAAACAGCACATTTTTTAGGCTACCTCTCATCTTAAATGACCATCCCTAAAAATACCCTAATAAACTATGGCCTATTCTGTTCCACCTTTATTAAGAAAAACAGTTCTGTAAAACAACCAGGTTTTGCTCATTTCCTGAGTGTCAGAGTTCCTCACTAAGATAGCTTTGCAGTCAGTTTTATCAATCAGATGTCTGACATTGCCCCAAACCCTACTTTTGTGGCTCCCGACAAAATTGTGTAAAAACTTAATTTTGGTTAAAAACATAATAATGAGGATAATAAATTGCATCAGTGCCAAAAGCTTCCATGTCATGTTTCAAGCCAAGTGTGAATAAAAATGGATGGGTGATCATCCTCTAGCAGAAAAGGTTCATAGTGAAAACAATGGAAATGTTGACAGAATTTGAGCTTTGCTGGTGCTGCCAGGTGATGTTGTAATTACATGCAGGCTTTTTGCCAAACAAAGTGAACTAAACTTAGTTGACTTACAGTTGTTGTTGGAAGTATTTTTTTTTAACCCTGTTAAATGTGAATCTGTTGGCCCATTATGGTGCTCCAGAGGGACCTATCGCTCAGTGGAGTTATCAGAAATCTGCCGTTTTTATTATTAGTGATGGTTTTACACCAAGACCCTCATGTTGTATTGGTTTTAATACAGCTAGGGCAAATATTTGTATTGTTTGAATATCTTGTGGAATAGCTGCATTCTGCATGGATTTTTAAACTAAGGTTCTTTCAAACAGTAGCTTCTCTTTTGACTTTGCTCAACAGTCAATGCTGCAATCCATGGTTTTAAAATTGTTTATAATTTCTTATATCTTGTAAGTGAGATTGATACACACCTTTCTGTCAAGAAAGATTCCTATTGACTTCAGTGAACTTTTGATCAGGTTCCAAGTACAATAAAACACCAGAGCTGCTTCTAAGAAATTATACTTTTGATTATTCTGAATTTTCTAGGACAAGACAATAGAAGTAATTATTCTTCTCAGTGTAATAAATAGGATTATACTGTAGCAGAAAACTAGCCATCAGTCAGAACTTACTGGAAAATGGAACTCCCATGGTAAATCCTGATATTTTTCCCCATTCTGAATTGGAACAAAATGTCACAATTTCTATTTTTTAAATGGTTCTGAAACATGAGAATGTTTCATTTTCATAATGTCTCATTATTTTGTTTCCATAATATCCTAATGTTTTCCTTTGTAAGGTAGAAGTATTTTTTAGATAAGATTGAAATAGTCTAACACGATATAAAATAGTAAATACAAGATATTAAATATAATAGATGCCTTTAATATTATTAAAATTAGTAGTTCACTACAATATACAAGTCCAAAAAACTGAAACAAAGGGATAAAGTCAAAATGAAACATTTTACCTTATCAAAATGAAATATTTTAACATTGCTTAAATGGAAGTGAGAAAGAAGAAAAAGAAGCAATTAATTGAAATTAACATGTTCCCATGAAGCCTTTCAATTTAGATAGAATGGAATATCATTCTGAAAAAAAATCTGGCCAGCTGTACTGTTAACCCCTTAATATTTGTGGAAATTTAAACGTAACTAAAAACATTGCTTTTAATCAGATTTCTGGCCACATCCCAAACTAAAGTACTTTGACTTCACATAGGCAGATGTTTGGAGTCTTTGGACTATTACAAATTCCACCCCTGCCCCCTCCCACTCCCCCCAACCATCCACTCCCCATTTGGAAGCAAACTATTTTATGTTCACATTCTTTCTTTGCATAAAAATAGAACAATGGTAAACGTTGCAACAAAACTCTCATAAATTAAATGTAGTCTTTTGTTTTGTTTTATGACATGCAGACAAATGATAAAGCAGCTGTGGCACACAAGCACGTCTTGGGGAACTCACACATAGTCATTTAATCTGTAGCCACTATGTGAAGCAGATGTCAGGGAAGAAGCATGGTTTCCCTTGTAGGCAGTTGGTGGTCTATATAAGGGAACACCCCCTGTGGCACCTCGTGGTTGTGGCTGATAAGGGATGTTGTTCTCACTATCTTGGCATGATATACAAAGTAGAGTTCCACCAAGTATAGTCAAAGATGCAGAGACAAAGCCAAGGTAAAGAGCTTGCCCTATCTCATGCTTCATTCCATGTGGTAGCATGGGGTTATAGAAATCTGTGACTACATCATTGGTTTTCCAAGAAATGGGTACCAAGCATATAAGACCAGCCAGTATAAAAAAGATTCCTCCGCAGACTGCAACAGAGTTTTTGACAGAGGCCTCTTTGGCACACCGAGTGCACTTCATGCCAATGACAGCCACCACACATCCCAGTGTGGAAAGAACACAAGAAACCACCATCATGGCACGGGCAGCTTGGAGGTCACGAGGTAGTGCAAGCTGAGATCAGTGGACCTGGCACTGATAAATGCCAGTGCTATGCCAGACACACTCCATCCACAGCCCCTTCATATATGCAACTGCTGTTATAATATTGGTGCCCACGTGCTCTTCTCCACCAGTGAGGCAATATAGTAGCAATTAATGTTCCCATTAGACCAAACAGACTGAGGAAGAAGCCAAGTAACTGAACAGCCATGCTTGCCATGTTAATGTTTGTCCTGATTATTCCCTTTTAATATTGTACCTCCGCTTGAATTCCTTCTGAAAACATAGGCTGTTCTTGAGAGATATGCAGCCGTTTTACTTTGACACCTCCTGGTCTCCTAATAAAAGGTAATTGAGGGAAAAGAAGTTAAATATTATCCAAATGCATTATTGCTCTAACCAGTAAGGTGCATTCCAAGTACCGTTAGTGTAATAATTAGCATAGTTATTGCAGTTAAGGCTATTCTGTGGAAGTAGTGGGAAAGTAAGCTTACCTCCTCACTTAAATAAACAGGCTTCTCTAACCCACTGGGAAGAAAACTTAAAACAATTTATGAAATTGAAAAAGTATTTTAAATTTAAATATTCTTCTTCCCAACAGACTCCTCAGAAAAGCATGATTTCCTTTTTAAAGTAGAAAATTAGCAAGTGTTAACACTTGGAATGAATGAGATTTATAAAGTACGCATGTGAAAGCTACTTTACATGATGAAAACATTCCCAAAAGGTCATTGCAGGACTACAAAAACAATGAGTGTATTTGCTCAAACTAGGGAACAGGGAGAGTGATTTAAAACCTGTGGAAGAGGATAACAAGTATTGGATTAAAGTTACTTTCCCGCACTTGCCAGTATTTCTTGAGGTTGTATTTTAATAAAGCAACTCAAAGGGGAATCATTTTCATTAGCCTCTGTGGAGACAGAGTTTATGACTTTAGGTTGTGGGGTAGATGATAGCATGTGAAACCAGATGTGCATCCCGCAGCTTCTGAGAAGTGACACCTTCACAGTTTCAGAAGACATAAATTATAACTTAAGAGCCTATGCAAGAAATAGTAGCTCTTCTTCTGTGTATATTTTAGTAATGTGCACTAATGGCTGCCTTGCAAGGTTTGCTACAGGTAACATATTATGTGTTTGGACAGAAAATATATTAATACATAAAATGATTTGCATCAAAATCCAGTAAGGAAACCAGAAATAAATTTAGATTCCAATCCTGCAAAGCTTTATCCTTATGCTGAATTTGTACATGAAAGTAAGTATTTGCAGAATTGGGCCTTAACAGGTAAAGCATGCATGCAAAGCAAGAATCTAGAATAAAGTGACCAACAAGAGTAGTCAATGAAAGACATAATGCAAAAGGCCAAAAAGCAGTGCTGATTTACACTTGCAATCTTATTCATTAAGCAGGATTGCTTGGATTGTGGAGCAGTGCTGAATTTTCTTCTTTACACATTCCCATAACATGTGACCAGACAACAAGAATCCAAAGCAATTTACAATCTTTGTTCAACATTATGCAGAAAGGAAATTTAAAAAAAGGTGAGGAATTGCTGGGGATTGGTAAATAATGGTGGTTACAACAATGAAGATTATGAAATGAACTCCTAATTACATGCTAATTTTAAGTCTTAAGGTTCAGACAGAAGTGACAATTTTCACTTGGTATGGCCCCTGAAATCACTCTACAGCCATAACCAAACACAAATGTGTAGCTGCAGAATGTTTTACAAGGGCCCAATCCTGCAATGGTCTGAACCTTCATTACGGGAGGGCTCAGTTAAGGCATTCCAAAGCAAAGCACCTTCATTAACTTCTGTCTGTGCATGCTGGAAGCAGGGCTGGTTTGACACAGCTCTGCCCTGCATCTGATGTGGTTTTTAGAATGGGGGGGGAAGAGAGCAGGGGGAGCTTGTTCTGGGAATTGCCCAGCTGGCACTGGAAGGTGGGGCAGGTGGATTGGAGACCTCCTGAGGTTAAAGGCTTCAATCTACTCACCCCCACCCACACTCCAGCCTGGCTAGGAAACCCCAGAATGAATCTCCCTCCCCTGCCTTCATCCCCTCCCATCCTGAGACACAATAGGAGCTGAGAGAGGAGGAGCAGAGCTAGGGGAAGAGACTGCAGAGTCTCTCTCCCTTGATTGGCTCCAAATTAGACCCCAGTCCCTCACCCTCCCAACACAATAGCTAATGTCTGTTGGGTCAGAAGGATCAATTTAACTCATGGCGCTTTCTATGAAGTGCCATGAGTTAGATCTGGGAGCTGCACTTCTGTCTGTGCTTTTAGTGTTTGTATTGATTACATCAATGGAAAGATAGCTGACTAGTAGGGCTAGCAAAATTTCGACAAGTGTTTTGTTTTGAAGCTGTTTCAACGCATTTTGAGCTTCAAAACAGCTTCAAAATGAAATGAGAGCACTCAAAACATTTCAACAGTTTCAAAACGTTTCTAGTTTCAAAGCAACCCAGTGGTGGGAGGTGGGGGAGAGCCAGGGCTGCACTCTGAATGGTTCTGCCAGCCTCATGGAGCTCAGCTCGGCAGCGGGAGGTGTTGGAAGAGCCAGTGGCAGAGCTACTCTGAGCACAGCCCTGGCCATTTGCTCCCACCCAGTCCCACTGCCAGGCTCAGCTCCATGCAGCTGTGAAGCCTCCCACTACTAAGCTGTGCTCACCAGGGCTGCACTCCAAGCGGCTGTGCCACTGGCTCTCTCTCTGCCTCCCACTGCCGGGCTGAGCTCCATGGGGCTGGCAGAGCCGCTTAGTGTGCAGCCCAGCAGCGGGAGGTGGGGAGAGCCAGGGCTGCACTGCAAGCGGCTCCATCAACCGCACAGGGCTCAACCTGCCTTCCCAGCATTGCCAGGCTCCTCCTGGAGGTGCAGGCCCCCAGATCTGTGCACGGGATGACAGGAGGCTGCTTCTCCTGCCTGGGGCCAGCAACAGCACCAGTCTTCCTGGCGCTGGGCGCAGGCTGTGCCCAGCACCAGTCCCAGGTCACAGCAGCAGCTTCCTGTCAGAAACCCCTGAACCTATCTCCTTGAAACCTGACAGGCTTCATACCCTCAGAAGGGGCTTCATACCCTCAGAAAGGGCTACCATCCCAGCAATTTTCATCTAAATTAGGCAAAAAATGACAAAGTTATAGGCATTTTCATGATTCCCCATTATAGCCTATGGGCGAAATGTCAAAACCTGTCAAAACAGCAGAACAGTTTTGACCAAATGAAACGAAACAGAACAGTGCCTCAAAACGAAGCAAAATGACAAAATGAAACACTGTCCCTTCGAAACAGCGAAACAGAAGTCCAAATGGCACGGCGCTGTTTCACACAGCTCTACTGACTAGTCTAGCCTCGGTAATGGTGGAGTGATGTGGCAGCTATGAAGGGCCAAGAAGAATGCACGAGGCAAGTATTTCTGTGGGTGGTATCTTTTATTAGACTAACTGCATAGTTAGGAGGGACGTAGCTGAGTTTTTTTAGGTACCATTCCTCAGCTGTCCTCAGCAGACATCTGAAAAAGTACAGTGGTAATAATGTCACCTTGGTAACTGAATAAATATGCAGAAACCAATGATCAGTTTTGTTTTACTTGGATTTAGGAAGAGATTTTGCTGTTTTTTACTTCTCTAATGTTTATATGACCTTCTGACTCTTCTGTGACTATTTCTTAAGTGATGGAAAGCTATCTTATGTTGTTGCTGAGTAACCTCTGATCTACATGTAGCAATAAAAAAATTGGCATTTGCTACCAGAAACTCCCCTCCTCATTAGTTCTCTTATCTATTGCTGTATTGTGGGGAGGGACTGTACCCCAGGTTCCTTCCTTTCTGTCGCCATTGCTATAATGGATTGTGATCCTAAAGGAAAGAACCTAAAGCTAAGTACATCATGTAGCAAGTCTCAGGAGCAAAACAAAATGAAAATCTACAGTAACACAGAACTTTACATTTGTGTTATCCCAGATTGTTCAGCTCAGAAGAACTCCCAGAATGCCCTTTTCATCTGTGTATTTGATCTGGTTTGATTTTGGTTTTGTACTCTGCCATAAATGTGATGAAAATAAAAGAGTTTGCCTCATTTCATTCCAATGTGACTTTTCTCTGGTGCATAACAATATCTAAGCACTTTATATACTAAGGAATTTATCCTCACAACTACTGTTCTTACCATTTTAGATGAGGAGCTGGGGTACTGAGAGAGCAATCGGCTTCCCACAGTCATTCAGAAAGTCCATGGTACCGCTGAAAACAGCACTGCCCTCCATTTTCTTAGACTAGGGCCATCATAGCTGGCCATCTTTGCAATCTCAGTTTTATGGATGGGGAAGTCTTTATCTTGACCTATTTGAATTTTCTTAATTTTCTTACCTGTTTCTTTCCTATAGGTAGGGAAATAGAGTGACTGGTTATGATCAATCTCATCAGTCAGTCCACACTTATATCTCTGTATCACACAACATATGAAAGTCTGCTGTAAGTTACTTCTGGATGTCTGCAGAAACGCTTTCAAGGTCAGGCGTTAGGTTCTGAGGTTAAACCCAAAGAGAATGGGGTATAAAAGCTAAATGTGATTTACACCATTAGTTACAGGAAATGGACTTCCAGTTTAATGCAGGTCAAAATACTCTTCAGCTTGGCAGCAGCTATTTTTAGTAATCATTATGGTGTTATTTTTAAACTTGAGCTATTAAACGCTTTCTAATTTAGGAAACTGGTGTTAATTAGTCCCACTCACTCAACCTCATGTTTTCCATATTCCTTTCTTAGTTGGTGCCAGCTGTCATTGGTGCTAAGTAATGCTCCACTAATGTAGAACAACCTTGCAATTGCACCTTAAAAATAACTGTAAATTAACACGGTTATCCCAAAGAACATCAATAGCCTTGTTAAAATACCTTGACTTAGAGCTTTACTCCTGATGGCTGCTCCTATGAACATGGTCAACCCGGTACAAACAGTAGGAGTGGATGAATGAATACTGCAGGAAATGGCTTGCAGCTATAGCCAGGGTAAATGTTAGAGCCCAGACAGAGCCATCTTTTCTACTCTGATCATATTTCTCATCGTCTTTCAAAAACACAAATGAGATATAGACTTAGTAGACCAGAGACGCAACTGAAATCATACAGGCGGCTCATTTTAGTTGGCACTGCTGTTTTGTATTGGTTCACTGGGTGATATGGTTCCAAATCACCAAAAAGGCCCTGCACTCTGGCTCTCAATGCATTTTAAATCCCTTTATTCCTTCCTTTCTCTGTGCATCCTTATCTATCTCTGATTTCATTTTGAT